CATGCTCACCAAGTTCATGAGCACCTTCGCGAACTGGCACTGCTCCCCACAGTACGCCGCCAACCGCGAAGAAATACACAGGGTGTGCGCGCCCGCTTCAACTCAAGGATCTTCATCGCCGACAATTGCGTCATGACCTGTGCGCGCTCCCAACGGCGCATCGGGACATGCATCAGCAGCCCACGCAATCCTGCAAGCATCAGCCAGATCTCACGCCCACGCTGCCGCAACTCCAGCACGCTCTTCACGATGATCTGCACCTCATCGTTGTCGATTGCATGGCCTCCGTCCCCCCTTGTCGACCAGCGCGTCGACGCCGTTTTCGAAGCCGTGGCCCTGGGACCGCGTGCACCGCGACCGTGCACCCAAACCCAGAAGTGGGGTCGACCCCAACTTTGGGGTCGATGCTCCAGGGAGAGCTCGGCCGTGGACCCATTCTTGAGCCCCTCCATGTCGTACGATCCGTCCTCCGCTGTGTACTCGACGAGGCCCTGCGTCTCCAGCACACCGTCGCCGTCGATATGAAAGCGCTGCGCCCCCTCGTGCATCTCTGTATCTCGATCTGGATGTCCTGGGGCTCCCACATCCGGGGCACTGCATCGATGTGGTCCGCCCAGCGCTCGGTGATGTCACCGCTCACATCGGCCTCGGCTTGCACGACGGCCTCCTCCATGAACCCCGCCAGGTTGGCCTCGGCCATGGACTCCATCGTGCTGTCCGAATCCACATCGAACTCGGCAGAGTCTTGCGGAACGGGCCCCTGCACGAGCCCCGCCAGGTTGGCCTCGGCGTTGGCGTCCTTCAAGGACTCCTGCATGAACCCCTTGCATGTAGACCAAGAAGAGCGGGACCGCGGGCAGGGTCTTCATGTAATGGGGGGAAACGATTAAAACAATTTTCTGGGGCGGACGATTAAACAAATTGTTTCGCGGGCCTCCTCGCCCCCGCAATAGCGGGGGGGCAGGGCAGGCAGACGGGGGGCTGACAATTCCGGGTTGCCCGGAAGGCCAGGGGGGGGAGTAGTTGAGGGAGTAGTTGAGGGAAGGGGTTTTCGAAGAGGCGCTTGATCACCCTCGTCCTTGCTGGCTGCCGCCGGTCGTCCTTGCGGACGGCCGCGGCGATTGGGAGGTGGGGGATGAGGAGGAGGAGAAGGAAGAGGGGGGGGAGGAAGATGAGGAGGTGGAGGAGGAGGAGGAGGGGAAGGAAGAGGAGGAGGAGGAGGAGGAGGAGGAGGAGGAGGAGGGGTCCAGCACAGGCCCGAGCAAAACGATCCTTGAGGCCCCGCGGCTTCGGTCCTGCTGATTCGTGCTGGCCGTTATCCTATCTTCCTCTTTATCTTTCTCCTCGTCTTCCTCCTCCTCCTCCTCTTCGTCCTCCTCCTCCTCGTCCTCCTCCTCGTCCTCCTCCTTCTCCTCCTCCTTCTTCTCTTCCTCCTCCTCCCACCTCCTCCTCTTCCTCTTCCTCCTCCTCCTCATCCCCCACCTCCGAATCGCCGCGGCCGTCCGCAAGGACGACCGGCGGCCGTCCGCAAGGACGAGGGTGATCAAGCGCCTCTTGGAAAACCCTTTCCCTCAACTGCTCCCTCATTGCCCCGCCCCCCCTCCGCAATCATCCCCCCGCGGCCGCGGGTGATCAAGCGAGCGAAGGAGGACGAATCGAAAATCAGTTCCCCCAAAGGGGCAAAAGCAAACGCCGGGGGGCGGACGATTAAAAAAAAACAGTTTGCGGCGGCTGAGTTCTTTATCAGTCCGCCCCACTTCATCATTTTGGGGGTTCTGGGGGGGGGCCATGTTTTAAATCGTTTCCCCCCATTACACGGCCTCTGTGGCGAGCTTGTTTTCTTCCACGACGGACTCGGCCTTCGCACCTTGCGGGTCGGAGTCGCGGTGCCACACAGCCAGCTCGGCACCCGCTTGTAGAGTCTTCCTGAAGAATTCGGCAATTACCTCTTCATAATCCTCAGCACGAGGATCGTCCGTTACGGCGCACGGTAAGCCGAGGTCCTCAACGTCGCCGTCACCGATGAAGAAAAAGTCTTTCACGACCAACGGGGGCACGCCCACCTCCATGCACGTCGGGACGGCCGTGCCCTCCACCACCTCGGCCTGTATCATCGAAAACTCCTTGCGCGACTGTACCAACCTCTGGTAGCGTCACCTGCCCGGCCTTGGCTGCCACTCCGTCACCGCGCCGCGGCGGAGCCGCGGGCGGCAGCGCCAGCGCCCAGGCTCTCACAGCACGGGAGCACCTCGACCGGCCCATGGCCCGCACGCCAACATGTGCAACCCGATCGTGCGCGGCACGCTGCGCCCTCAAGCCGCAGGCCCCAGCCCAGCCGGACACACTAAGCGTCGGGACGTGCGCCAAGGAGCAACAAGTGGCAAAGGTGGTTGGAGGAGAAGGAAGGAGGAGGAGGAGGAGGAGGAGGAGGAGGAGGAGGAGGAGGAGGAAGAGGAGGAAGAGGAGGAGCTCCTGGCCGCTTGCCCCTCGCCCCCTCCCCCCAGCCTGAGGTGCCCCAGCTCCTACCGGGCCCGCAGGAACGCCATCCTGGCGCTGCAGGCCCCGCTGGCGCCCCCACTCTGATCGAAGCTCGATCCTCGCAGTTCGACGTTCGAACTTCGAGGATTGAGGTCTCTCTCTGACAGATTTCCCAAACACCGGGATCGTCAAAAACCGCTCGGGCTGAGAAAAATGTCTCAAGAAGGCGTCGGACATGTTGAAGCCTCCTCCCCCTCCTTCCTACGAAAACAAAAACTTGTATGATCAGTAATTTTCTGAGGTTCGCGCGGGTTTCTTGGGCCGGCGTTGGAACCCCTTGGCGGCGGCGCCAGATCCGCCAGGGAAGGGAGGTCCAGCGCCGACCTAAGAAATCCCCGTGGACCTCTGAAAGCTGAAGTTTGGTCATGCTACGTGTCTCATTCTACCTCTTTCCCCCTTCCTCCTGCCCGCTGACTTTGCTCTCTCCCCTCGACCCCCTCCTCCCTCCTCTCCCACCCTCCTCCCCTCGTGCCAGCCTCCGTGGGGCAACGGAGGGTGCCGTCGGTCAGACCACGCACAGCAGTCCCAGGGCAACCTCGTTCCACCCCTACTGCCCTCTATATCTGCCCTCTGCGCCGCGCCTCTCCCTCTCCCTGCTGGCCGGCCACTGGGGAGCAGCGCTGCCGGCGCTCGCCAGGCACGGCGCAGGGAAGCGGGGGCGGGCCAAGCAAGAGTCTGGACGAAGGGGCAGGCCAGCGCACGCGGTCTGGCACGAAGGCCCTGCCTGCGAGGAGCCCCGACATCCTGAGGTCGCGAAAGAATCAGGACGGGAGGTTTCTGACCGAGTTCGGCCTCTGGGGGCTCTTAGCAGCCCAGGGCTGTGAAAAAACACTCCGGGATGAACAACAATGCAATGTCACGGGAAAAGGTCCAGGCATTTGTGAAAGAAACACGTCGGATGTCTAGGAGGAGGACCTTCTGTGTCGTGATGATGCCCTTGCCTTGAGGGCAGGCGTAGCCCTGTCGATTCGGGTGGACACATGGGCGCTCTCATCCTTGAAAGCGCGCCAGTGCAGGTTGGAGGAGGAGGAGGAGGAGGAGGAGGAGGAAGTGGTCCGTATTTCCTCTGGCCCCAAAGGCCAGCGGGCGGCACGGCAAAGCCGCTTCGCGCCACCTCCGCCAGCTGGCGTGCGACCAGACGTAGCGGGTGAAGCAAGGCACGGCCGAGGCGGTCTGCGTTGCTCTCTGCCAGCGCTGGGGAGCAGCCATGTAGCTCCGAAGCGGCGGTGGTTGCCGCAAAGACATGGCGACACTGCGCTCAGCAGGGATGGGTTGAGCCCGCCCTCGTGGTCGAGCCCGCCAGTGGTGTAAAGTTTCGCACTGGGAAGGGAACGAAGCGCGAGGTAGCCCCCTTAGCACGTAGTTGTGACAACCGCTGCAAAGAGGGTGTCCTCGATCTCGTGGTGCACAAGGCTGCCTGCCAAGCCTCTTCAGCGATGTGACAATACGTGAAGTTGTGCTTGGAGTCGCGGCCGCACTGGCAGCGGCGGCGCGGCACGCGGGCGTCATCAACGCGGCCGTCGAGGCGGACACGCGGGAGCGGACCTGGAGGGCCGTTTCTGGACGTTTTGCCCGCGTACGGATGTTTTCGGCGGGCCACCCGCAGGGGAGCCTGTGGACGCGGGCCGCGCTCCGGCACCTCCCAGGGTGCAGCCATCTGAGCGAGGCCTCCTCCGCACCACCGCTGCTGCTGCGACGGAGTCATTCGCGGCCATTCGAAGGACGGCGGACGGCGGACGCGATGTGGCAGCTCCCAGGGTGCAGGCATGCTGTCCTCGGCACAGCCGCCGCTGCTGCGATTCTTCGATGCGGTCCTGTGCGGCCGCGCGGAAGACGCTGGCCGCGCTCCAGCTGGCAGCCTCCAGAGCCCAGGCACTCGATCGAGACGGATTTGGCACCACCGCTGCTGCGTTGGTATTCCCACGGCCATGTCAAGGATCCGCGTCTCACCCAGGGAACGGTTAGGAATTGTTGCTTAGTGAGAGTCCGCCCAGGCGGGCGGGGATCAATGATAAGGATGCTTTAATACCCTTGATCCTAAAAGGGCGCCCTGTGTACGCGTGCGCTGCTGTAACAATCAAGATAAGCACAGATACTACACACGCACGCCTGCTAAATCCCTGAATCTCTGACACCCCTCCGTGACCTTCGAGGCTTGTCCTCGTCGGGCACAATCTTGGAAGGCGGGGGAATCGGAGACCAAATGAAAAATGGCGGACCTTTGTCCGGACCCCAAAAACAGTGCGGGGGCGAAGCTTCATTAGACAGATGAGAAAACAAATGATATAATTAAATCCCCTGCCTTCAAGAGGGAAATCTCAAAAAATCGGCAGAGCGGTGCCTAAACAGGCGTGCAAATATGGAACTATAAAAGCACAGGGCATAAACGATATGGATGCAAACCAAACGGTACGAGGGAGAGGAGGCAGAGGAGGAGAAGGAGGGAAACGAACATCAGAGGACTACCCCTCCGCATTGCCAGGCCGGACCTTGCGGGCTCGGCGCGCCTCGCCTGCCGCTGCCTTAGCAGCGAGCATCTCCTTCGTCTGCGCTAAACACCAGCGGCCCTCAGACAGCCGCTCTAGCAAGAAACTCCTCTCAGCCTCGGACTTCGTCAAAGAGTCCGCGATCATCAGCTTCGTGCCGATCCATCTGACACGTATCCTCCAGTCGTCACTTTCTCGCTCTTGTTTCAGCACGTCATGGCCGAGTAGCTGTCGGATCTGGGCCATCAGGATCCGTACTCGCTTGTCAGCGGGCTGACCACCATCCTTCTCCAGGGAGGTGACAAGGCCATTCGCGTCCGTCAACAGTAGCAGATGCTTGCCGTCGAAGAACGGGTCGAACTGGTAGGATGAGTAGCCGGGGTCGGAGATCTCGGCAATCACATGCTTGAGAAACTCAGCACTCTCAGCTGTCGTCAGGAAACCATTGCATTCAGCTGCTAGCGATCCACGAACCACTCGCTTGATCGTCGCGCTAGCCCATTCCAGTGGATGTATGATCGCGGTGGCGTCCGTCTCGAGGTCGGGCGACGCCATGCCGATGATATAGCCGCACTGCGACTTGACCTTCTCTCCTAGCGCAAGGTCGTCAATGTTGCCATGGCTGCTGTCCCCGCAGCCGAACCCGATGGCGCTGTCCCAGTCCAGGCGGGATGAAAACATCAGCTTGAAATCAACGTCGTCCTTAGCCATCTTGATGGCACGATTCACTGCAACAGTGTCATGGCCTGAGCCCCAAGTGAAGCGTGGACGGCCACGTCGGGGCGCGTCTGCCGTGCTACCCAGCCAAGCGACCCAACACCGCTACGGAGGGCAGAGATCTCCTCCGGGGTGAGTGGCGCATTGGGCTTGCGCCGGCGGTGCGGCTCGAGGGTGATGTACTCCAGCGCCTCGACCGCGGCGGCCTGTCCGATCTTGATGTCGAAAGTCCGGTTGTCCTGCTCCACGACTTTGCCACAGTGCCTGAACGTGTCGGACTGGAAGGAAAGGCGAATCTTGTCCTTGCTGATCTCCATCACGCGCTCGAACTGCTCGCCCGCGCCCGTGACGAAGAGGTCGTCGACGTGCGTGCACAGCAAGCCGTTGAGTTTGCCCTTGCTGTCCCTGAGCATGAACAGACAGGGTTCGTAGATGGATTCGCGCCAACCCTGCTCCACGAGGATGGCGCGCAGATGCAGCCACCACTGCCTGCCCGCGCCCTTGGTGCCGTAGATTGCGCCGCGGGCGCGCATGTAGGACCCCTCCGGAACTCCAGGTGGTGGAGGACGAGGGGCTCGAAGAAGCAGGATGCGCTCAATGCCCTTGGACTGCAGGTAGGCCGTTGCAGCATCCGCTGCCCTTATCTGCCACCGGTGGGGGGCAGCGCAGCTGGCATCTAGGTGGAAAGCGCAGGCGACAGCCAGGTCCGGCTTGTAGTCGCTGGCGAGGAACACTTCGTGGAGGGCGTCCTCCATGACGCTGAACTCCTCCTCCACTTAGCCCTGGAAGGTACGAGGCTTCTTGATGGAACCCCGATCCAGACGCTCCGGATCGCGCATGGCTCTGTCCAGCTGGGTAAGTGACAGGCCTCCGCGCTTCTCCCCGCGCTCCAGGCCCACGCCCATCTCGTCGTCCGGCACAGGCTTGTCGACAGCCTCGTCATCCGGGGGCACCGGCTTGTCGATGGCCTCCTGGGATACTCGAGGATCGATCCGATGACCTTGGACTTCGGAATGAATGCTGGGCTCGCCTGGGCCGTGCGAGCGCGGCGGCCCTCTGCCTCTGGTAGCCCCGGGCGTGGTGGCTCAGGGACCACAGGAGGTGGCTGATGCTGAGCTGGCGGTGGTAGTAGTGCGTCGTCGGTCTCCTGAATGATTGGAGATGCTTGTTGTGGTACTTCGTGTGCTGGCGGTGGAGGATCGACCCGCTGCTGTGGTAGGTGGTCCTCGGTGTTGAACTCGTCGAAATCGAAATTTACGTCAGGTCCTGGTCCGGCAGATCCGAGCGCGCCCCCAACCACCCCTCCGTGACCAGCCGCGTGCTGTTGCGGCCTTGGCATCGGGGCGGGCGAGGCTGCTGCTGTATCGGCCCGGATGTCGATGTAGTGCCTGGCCCCCTTCAGTGACCGAAGGGACAACAGGTCTGGGTTCACGTAGGCGCGCATGGCGAGAAGCCCGTCCTCAGAGGCGAACCTGAGCGACTCAGGAGCTGCGAGCACGGTAGTGTGTCCGTAGCGCAGCCACACTGCATGGGCCAGTGTGCCGACGGGCTCGTCCGTGTCGCGAGAGAGGTGACGTGGGCCACGCACTTCATGCCCGATAACCCGTGCTGGCCCAAACCAGCGGTGCGTGACCTCGGGGCTCTCGCCGACTCGGGTCTGCGACCGGCGGAAGTACACGATGGCCCCAATGTTGAAAGGGCCTCGGCTAGGCCGCGCCTTGCGCAGGATGGCGCGCTTGACGCGGTCGTCGGAGTCGAGGCGGACGTGTGCGATGCGGGCCGCCTCGCGCAGGGCCATGGCGCGGGCCATGGCAGACTGGGGGTCGAGCGACGCCTCGATGACCTCCAACCGCTGCGCCTCGTCGTCTTGTAGGAGGCTTCCTGGGGCACGGGGCCCATGAGACCCCAAGACCCACTGCGAAGGGGAGAACCCCCCGCGTCGGCCCAGCTCGTTCTTGACCTGGGTCACGATGGAGGCAGTCTCCTCAACGTCGCCCAGTCCTGTGACCTGCGAGTCGGCGACAGTCCGTCGCCAGATCTCCTTCCAAATGCCCCCGTGGCGCTCGCACTTGCCGATGAGGTGCGGCGTCTCCAACGGGGCCAGGTCGACCTGCACGCCATGCGCCTTCGCGTTGGAGGCGAAATCCTTCATCCACTCCTTGCCCAGGTCCACCGTGAGCTTCTCTGGGTAGCCAGCCCACGGGGTCCAGCTGGTAGTGAACGCCTTAGTAGTGGCACGTGCTGTCGGTGATCCACGAGCCGGGCCCATGCAGCACACGACTTGAAAGTTCGCCCCTCGCAGATACAGTTCATAAAGAAGTAGGGCGTCCCGGCGGCGTCGTAGGCGTGGAAGGTGCCCAGCTGGATGGCGTAGTTGAACACGCACTGACCTGGCAATCGCGAAGGTCGCGGGGCGCGCCGACGGACGGCGTCGCCACAGGCGTCGCAGGAAAAGAACTCCACGTACTTCAGCACCTCCGGCTTGACTCCTCGGCGCCTCAGCAGCCTGGTCAGCGTCACGTTCGAACAGTGGTGGAAGTTGACGTGGAGCTGGCGGATGGCCTTCCTGACCTCTGGCGGGGCCTCCAGCCATCGCCTGCGCCGGTCGGCCTCCTTGATGTTGGTGATGGGGCCGAGCTGAGCGGCCTCTCGGGCTCGCTCGCCGTTGGGATCGACGGCTGGCGGAGGTGGTGGCTCCCCCACAGCTTCTTGATCAGCTGGAGGAGGAGCAGGCTCAGGCACGTTCGGGTCAGGCGGTGGCGCTGGCTGCGCCATGGCTGCCCGGCACGGGTGCCCCCGCAGTCTGGTCCGTCGTCGTAGTCGAATTGCCCCACGAAGGTCTGGACTGCCAGTCGGTGTCCGTGGCGTTGTCGACGATGGCCTGCTGTACGATGCTGCGGGCGACGATGTGGTTGAGCTCCTCCGGCCACTCGGCCGCTTGCAGGGTGCGCGGCCCGAACTTGTCGCGGCCCTTTAGCTGCTCGCGCTGGGTGCAGCGACATTTCTTGTCGGAAAGGGCCTCGACCAGCGTGTCCATAGTGGTAATGATCATCATGGGCTTGCGGTGAGCCAAGCCTGATTCAGCATCGCGGTACCCAACCTGGCAGCCGTCGAAGGTAACCTTCCTCAGGATGCCCTTGTCCAGGAGAGAACGAATCCTTGACATCTCCGGCTGGTCGAAGGCCTCGGAGCCCTGGGGGTGCTCCAGCGCCACGTGGAAGCCCCTCCGCACTCGGCTGTCCACTGAGGAGTCAACCTGCCTGAGAATGGGGCGGTTCGCCTCGCGCTTGGCCAAGATCTTCCTCTCGGTCTCCGGGCAACGGGCCATGTTGAATCTGCTTCAGTTGCCCCACGGCGAGCAGGGGTGCGAGACCACGAGGCAGTACGGCTCCTCGTTGGTGATCTCCGCGTCGTACCTCTGCCTGCCCAGCCTGGTGGTAGCGTCCCAGCCCGTATGCTTGTCCAGTGGGACGCCGACCGAGAGGCCCATCGTGGCCATGAGCACTGTCAAACCCATCTGGCCAGCGTAGGTCTGCTTGACCCATGTCCTGGCACCTGCGGGCAGCCGGGCCCTGGGCGGATGCTTCTCCACGACGGCCTGCACCACCTCATCCTGCACGGCAATGGCCTGCAGGGAATGCTCGAGCTTCTTGGACTTCTTGTTGGTGAGGTTGCGCTTCCCGCCCCACTCGATCGCCTCGGCGGCGAAGACGTCCGGTCCGTAGTCGTGGTCGACGACCGTCTGGAGGCACTCGTCGTCCGTAGTCTCGCCGATCTCGATGTCCAGGAAGCTGGGGAGAGGCTCAACTGAGCTCTCCTCGACGTAGGTGATGCCGACGTGGAACTTCTCGGGGTAGTACTCGAGGTGGTGATCCTCGGGCGTCGTCAGCGCCGCCCAATCGGCCGTCTCGTAGCTCTCGTTCGGCAGGTCAAGGAGGTTGACCGCCGGGTGGCCCACCTTAGTGTGGTGGAGCTTCAGGTTGTAGACGCCGATGTTGACAAAATCGGCGACATCGCCCTCCGTGGAAAGCCGCATGCTCAGCCCAAGCTTGGTGAGCATGTCTCTGCTGAGCAGCATCGGGCAGTCGCCCGGCACCTCATACGACAGAATCTCGCCACACTTTCCTCCAATGCCCACGGGAAAACGGACCGCCGTGGTGCTCCTCGTGCGGCCGCCGATCCCTCTGAATGTACGAGAGGTCGGGGTCTTCACTACCTGTAGACCGCGCCTCGCGAGCTTACGCTCGAAGGCTGCCCGCCACGACTCACCGTGCATGGCACGCGTGCACCCAGTGTCGACGATGGCGAGCATGGCGTCGGCGTCGCTGTCGCGCGCCGAGAAGGCATTGCCGGTAGTAGCGGCCATGACCGAGCACTCGTAGGTAGAGATGACGTCCAGCTGATGGATGTTGGGCTGAATCGGGATGGTGAAGCCGCCGGCGTTGACCTCCATCCAATCGTTGTCGGCGGGGGGCCTCCTCTTGTCGCCGTCGATCATCTGCTGCGGGGCAACGTTGAACTTGCCACGCGCGATCTCCACAATGGCGTAGAGGAAATACGCGTAGCGGTACAAGTGGAGGTTGATCTCCTCCGCCTCGGGGCCCAAGACCTGGTCCAGAGCCCACTTGTTGTACCAGATGAGTGCCGGGTCGGACGCCGCACCCTGGAAGGTTCGCCCCTTGTGCGTGCCGAAGTTGATGACCTCCGCTGGGTACGGGACCGGGTTGAGCTGGTCGACGCCGTCGAGATCCGGGAACTCCACCAGCTCGATGCTCTGGTGGAGCGGGATGCCGTACAGGAAGGCCAGCTCCGGTCCCGGCTTCGGCTCGGGGTCGCCTTGGGTCAAGTCGACCTTGATGATGCGCTTCTCGAGTGTAGGTGGTGCGGCCGGTGCTAATCCAGTAGCACTCGGCCTCGCAGAACTGGCCGCAGATGCGGCCGCCGGTGTAGGTGCACGTGGTCCGTCGCCTCTTGCAGGCAGTCGGCCGAATAGCCGCTGCTTGCCGGAAAGGCGTCGCGCCGCGGGCGCCCCCGTCCGCCTCCGATACGTAGATGGGAGGCGACCCTGGACCATGAGGGCGTCGGCCACCAGGGCAATCCGCCTCGCGAGTTCCTTGCGGGACAGGAAGCGGCCCCACTTCGTGCCCATCAGGGCCTTCATGAAGTAGCTCCACAGCTCGAACCCCTTGTTGCGGTGGGCGAGCGCGAAGTGGCGGTCGCACTCCCTGCATGTGACGTACCTGGTGGTCTTGTTGGCGCCGCGGACGACCTTCTCGCAGGCGTCGTCGGCCACGTGCTCGCAGACGTGCTCCATTTCGCCCTTCAGAACCATGAAGACCTCGGACGGCTCGCTGTCGTCGTCGTTGTCCCCGTGCTCCTCGAGCGTGAAGTAGTTATGAGCGGGCTTCTTCGCTGGAGACACTGATGTAGGCTTCCGGCTCGACCGACGAGGGCAACCATCATCGCCCTGCCAGTGCCCGAACTGGTGA